AAAGACATAAGCTATAAACCTGCTTAAAATAACAGAAATAAGACTTTGTACATCACGTGTTTTTATTTAAAAAACTGAAGTGGAAAGGTTCAAGGTTAGGAAAAATATGAAGTGCATAACATAAAATGCAACTGATCAATAAACTATGACATCCTTATGCCAATAAATGCCTTGTATACTAAGGGATTCAGAACATTATTCTAAAGAACAATCTTCCAAAAAAATCCAACTTTAATTGGAATGAAGGATGCTCAGCATCCCTGAAAATAAGAGTCTCTTAAGTGATTAAACTAAGATGTCCAAAGCTTAAAAACGAGGCCCTGTATCTGTAAACTGGGCCCCATAAATTCTGCAGCCATGGAATAAGCAAAACCTCAACTTTGGTTAGAAAGAAATGACATCTTTAACACACAAAGCAAATCTGAGAAATATGCCTAAAGCAATATTTGAAAAATGTGTGAAACCCCATTCATCTCAGTCAGGAGTCCAGGGACTCTGTGATTCTCAGACTTTGGTTCATCAGAGATAGTAACATTAAACATTTTTTTACTCTGGCCGGGCAATGTGTTGCAACCAGATGCCAAATATATTGCTTTCTGCCTCACTGCCTTGTGGGACCTGCCTCTACCTGCTTCATGCTCCCCAAATTTTCCCACAAAAGGAGCAGTATTGGATAATACTGCATACTCTCTGCACGATTTCATGAAGCCAAGAAACAGAGATATTAAGCTTGGGACTGAGAGTTAGTAACTGAAAATCTGAAGGAACTAGTAAGGTGAACTGGTGAGCTAACCTGAGCTGCCAAGACCTAAGAAACTGAGGAGATGGGCCACTAAAACTCCCCCGATTCCTGGTATTTGTAGTAAAGGATGTTTTCAGTCATGACACACGGCCACCATTGAGAGTGGCTAAAGGGTCAAGCTGCCTGACAGTCACAGTGAAAAATCATCCATCAATAAAAGTAATAATGCAAACAATCACTGTGGAATTTTACATCAGTATATATTTGTAATCACAAGCACGGTGTTGTGTGTTTGAAATATGAAAAAGGCAGGGCATTTCATGGAAATAAATTGTTTAATAATGTCACAGAATCTATAGCTTCTTGCTACACCATGAAGGGGGTCTTCTTGAATGGTTTGATAATTTTGTGCAGGACTTGGACTTCTGTGTATAATTAATTTTTGAAAAAGAAATGAGTGCTTTAATACTTCTGCATAGCATAACAGCAATATGCAAAACTTACGCAAAACTTTGCATAAGTTATCCAAGGATTTATAAGTATATTATATTATAAAGGCCAGGCTTTATAATAATCAATAAACAAATATGTGTTACAGGCAACTTTTATTTTTTAATCATCTTAAAATGTTTTTAAAAAAACAATTTACTGAAGCTGTTATATAAATTCCTACATTTCAAGCAAAGATATACAACAAACAGAGAGGAGGGAATGAAAAGCAACTAAATGCCTGCAACTATATATCTAAGGAATCCTGTAAGGAATGTACAAAGGCAATAATATTACACTTTCCCACTAAAAGTGAGAGGTCATGTGTTCCACATTTCAAAGCAAGCCAAATCAGAGGCATGTTAACCTTGGGTTGTGCGCTCAGATTACACACTTAAGAACTATTTTATCAATATATCTTATATAGTGTCTTTTGGGTTCTACCCTAAAAAAGGATCTCTCAACAGATATTAGGAAGTAGAAACATATTTTAAATGTATCATCTGAAAATAGTGTGATTGTCTTTAAATCTCTAGCCACTCATCGTGCTATGTCCTACACAAGGAAAGTATTAAGGGATCAGAAGACAGGGTAAACAGTGAATTCACATTGGACACCTTGTTGGTTGGAAAAAATCATGTACTGTATGCTGTAAGTCTGACAGCAGGTATTAAAGGTCAGTTCACTATTCACTCAGATAAAAGTAGTTATGTGATTGGAACCTTCAGGAATGAACATGAAACATTCCAAGCTTAATTTTTCATATGTACAATACAAACGGATATTTAAAACATAGCCTTGTTTTGGAGTCCAAATCATAAACTGTTTTCAGAAGAGAAGATAACCCCATCACTCAAGTGGCAGAGTAGAGCTGTAATCCAAGGAGATAAGCAAACTGATACATCCTACATCAGTAGAACCTGGATTGCATTTAAGACATTTGTGAAGCACTCTGATTTGTTACCATGGGGTTTTTTTTCCTGGGATTTTCCTCGAATGCTGCTCACTGTTGAGTTCTAAAAGGGATGTTACACTGATTTGGGGTGTGGTCTGTGATTCCCAATCTGAAAGTGTATATCAGGCAAGATACCCATTGAAAAGAAAAGGGAGTTTAAAAGGAGTTTTCCTCAAGTGTGGATTTCAGACTTGTGTTCAGTCTCTCTCTCCATGCCTAGACATCTACAGTAGCTTCAGAATTATAGCCAACCTAACTCTTCCAACATGTTCAAAGCACAGTGATTGGATGTGATGGATTCTTAAATGAAGAGGGAGGTCCTTCCAAACAAGAAACACCATAAAAACTAACCACCACCAAATCATCATGCATTTTGCTTTATTTTGTTAATTTTTTTTCTTTATACTATCATCCTTTTCTCCCCCCATCTAATGCACATTTAGGTACCATGGAAACAATACTATCAGTGGCAAGAGTGGACATACGTAACAGCCACAGCTGCAAGTAACATTTCACAACCACACAGAATGAATTTTAATTTAAAAAGTGCTTTAAAAGATAATAAAAACTATTTATTACCATGTGTGTTTGCAAATGTGTGTACACACACACACACACACACACACACTCTATTTAGAAGGTAACATTTCTGAATATACAAACTGAGTCAACATAAATCCTTCAAAGACTGTAACAGTTAACCTTTTATCTCACTTCTTGGTAATAAGTTCTGCCATGGTCATTTAGTGCTTGATCCAAGACCCACTGAAGTCAATAGATGTCTTTCCATTAACTTCAGCAGACTTTATGCAAGATTGTTGATCCATTTAATAATACTAATTACTTCAATTTGAGAGGTCTGATTTGATTGCATACCTTGCTCCCATTGCCCTTCTATGCTAACAAAGGAATATTTTAACTTTGTGTATCCTGAGAGAGTATCCAGAGACACTCTCATTCCCCATCAGCTCTTTGGGGCTGCAGAATCATGGAGGAAAGGGATAGGTGTGGGATCTGTTCAGACCCTAATACAGGGGAGAACTTCCACTGAACTTTTCTTCAATTCTGCAAAGGAAGTAGGTTCACCTGTTTTATGTTTGTCTGGGAGGAAAACCTTCACCCTAAGGAGGCAAATAAAACACTGGAACAGGTTACCCAGAGAGGTGGTGGAAGTTCCATCCTTGGAGGTTTTCAAAACCTGGCTATACAAAGCTTTGGCTGGGATGATCTAGTTGGGGATGGTCCCGCTTTGAGCAGGGAGCTGGACTAAATAACCTTCTGAAGTCCCTTCCAACCCTAACTTCCTATGACTATGAAATCACTTGCCTAATATTAGAGTCATTTTTCTGCATTAGCATCAAGTTTTCCCACCATGTAGTTTCTTACTATTGTTTGTATTACAGTAGAGGTCACAGTCAAGATGTATGTCCTAATGTGCTAGACACTGTACAAATACATAAAAAGACATTCCCTGCCCCAAAGAACATACAATCTGATTACATGAAACAGACACAGGAAAGGAGAAAAGGAATATTGTCATCCTTATACTGTAGATGAAAATAAGGCACAGTGAGAATAAATGACTAGCCCAATAGTCACACAGTAACTCTATAGCAGAACCAGGAATTAAATCTACATTTCCAAGACCAAGTCCAGAGAATGGGCCCCACAACCATCATTACTGTTTATTATATGGCATGCGGGTGTTTTAAAATTATTTTTGCCCTTGGGTTCTTACGAAAAAGATCTTCCCTTCCTGCAGCAGAGGATCAGATCTATTTTTTATGCTACTTTATACATCTTTGAGCCATATGTCAATACAAGCAAGTTGACATGGTTGTAATGTAGGAACTTTTGCTGTAGCTGCTCAGACTAAGTAAGAGATTCCTTGTTCTGTTTTTCATCTTGCTGCATGTGTTCCAAATCATTCTGACTGAACTTACAGTTCTTTGCATGTGTTTTCTGTTTGACCTGAGATGCATCCAAGGTAGACAGAGTATTCTTTTAGTTCTTTAAAGATACTTTTCTATATAATTTTGGTTTAGTTATGTGACCATTAGACCTGTTTTTACTTTCTTTAGGTTTCATGCTTTCTAGCTTTCATAGCCCATATTCTCTGCTAGTTTTTAAAGATTGTATAGTGTTTGAGAGTAGAACTGAGCCACATATTCCAATACTGTTAAAACTTTCTTCCTGTGATCCAGATTCAGTCTGTAGAACAGCAGATCTCAACCAGGGCGCCGCTAATTTCAGAAAAGTTATGGAGAAGTGTATTAAATATAAAGAAGTTAAGAACGACTGCTATAGAACATATTTTCTAGAGAATAAAAATCATGACGACTTTGAAAGAGTGACTCCCCACAACATTTTCTTAATTTCAATCAGATATAAGTCTTAACTTCAATTTATAGAAAAACTCAAAAACTACATACCTGTTTTCTACTTGATTTTTTTTTTTTTAAATAAACTGAGATTTTTAAAGTCACCTTTAAAGGCATGAACTAAAGATCAAGACTGAAATCCTTCCCCTGTTGATATCAATAGCCAAACTCTACTGCAACAGAATTCCATACCAAAGATTTTGAATCAGCATGGAGGGTCTTCAGTAAAGCATAACTCTGTGACCACTTCAGATAAAGAACCTGATCCTTGTTAATCATCAGAAAAGAGTTAGAAAGAGTGACATGTTGGACTTATCAACTTTAATGGCTTCCAGTAAACAAAGATTCATTTGCTATTTGATCAAAATAATCTTTACTACAAATATGATCACTTAATCTTACTACAAATAAAATTTAAAATAAGATATGTTACCAGTTGATAGAATTCAGCATCTCTAGGAGTCAGATATGGAAGCCAGCTTTCTCCAATTTCTTCAAGAAGCTTTTGTTTCTGTTTTTTTAAAAAACAAACAAACCATATATTATAACAAAAATTAGGCCAAGGAAGCAAACAATATTTACATAGTAAAACAACTGTATTAAGAAGAATACTAGTTATCTCTCTCTAGACACAAATTGAAAATATTATCAAATAAGCAGGAGCAAGTGGATATAAATTTACCTCAGTGGGGTTTTGCCAACAGATTTTTAGTCAGCAGTTTCAGAATATTAAATTATATTTCCCTTCATTCTCCCTTAGAATACACTCCCTACCACACCAGGAAACATCTACTGATGTTCAAGATCTGGAAGACCTCTACCTGGCTTACACCTGATCTCATTTTTATTTTTTTCTTTATCTTATGCTTCAACTTTTGTATCTCATGAATCCAGTGTCATCCAGCTGCGCTCTAGACAGTGCTGAAGTAGACATCAGCCTATATGTTCAATATAGTCTCTGGCTTCTGAAATCAAAAGGGAAGAGGAAACACTCTCTGTACCTCATCATCAATCCAACCTTCCAGCCTGACCACGCACAGACCAGGCTTCAGCCTTCTGAAACAAACAGCTACAACTGTGGCTGATGGGTAACAGTCATTTATCCAGGAATTGGCTGTGAAAAGGAGGGCTTATTTTTAACTGTCATCTTTTACTATTTTTGTTTGTATTTGGTTGGAAAAACTTCTTTGGTAGAACTAATATCTTTGTGAGAAAGCCGAGAATGCTCTGGTTGTATTCTAGTAACATTCCCATTATTGTAAAAAAAACCCAGAAAAACTAGGTTTTAATTTCCAATTTTCTTCCATGCCTACCTTATTAAAATAGAAAGTCGATGCCTACTGTGCAATGTTTATGGCAGTAAAGCCTTAGACAAGGGGTGGCCAAGATAAATGCTGCAGCCTGAGAGCTGTCACACTGCAGCCCCTTGTCTTGCTGCCAAATTCCAAGACCTCTAGATCCAGGGGTTCGATCCAGAGCATAGAGTCATGCCCTCTAGCCTATGGGGCCAGAAAGGAGAAGCAGAGGCTGTCACAGCTCTGAGAGCTGCACCAATTAACCTGGATTATTTCCAGCCCTGCAAGACAGATGACATGGCTCCATATTTTGTATCTAGCCTGCAGACAGGCCCTGTGCTCCAGATCCAGCCTGACCCCACACCACTCATCCATGGGGCTGGATGAGTTGGGTACCCTTGCCTTAAACCACTGGTTTTCAAACTTCCTAAAGTCATAGAACACCTTTGTATCACTGACTGACACACCAGGCAACCCAGGTTGGCAGTGGCAGTGCATCTCCTCCCAGGCCACAGTGCCATTACCCCCAATCTTTTTGCAGAACCCCTTATGACCTATCATGTAGCCCCAGGGCTCCATGAAACACAGTCTGAAAACTACTGCCTTAGCTCATTAGAGAGAAGGACTAGCCACAGGGCTTCCAAAGCTATAATTCACAAACCGTAACAGAGATGGACCCATTCAATCAAGTTGCTCAAATATACCTCCACCTAAACAGGAGAAATATGGGTGTGCAATATTCTGTTTTACATTCTAGATAAATACTTCCTTTGACTTTTCCAGGACAACTCATCTTATCTGTACCTTGTTTTACTTAAGTGACTGTGTCTTCTATGGTACTCTCCATATCCTTAGTTATTAACAACCAACTAATAAAAATGGTAATTAGAGGTAATTTAGGGGGAAAAATTAGAATAGATGTTAGCTGTATATCAAGAAGATTAATCATGCATATATACTTTTAAGTAAGCTTTTCTTTTATATGTTTTCCAACTTGTAAACATGAAGAGGATTTAAGAATTTTTTTTCAGAATCACAATATTTGTGTGTGAAGAGTAAATATGTTTGTTCCAGGGGTGTAGGTTGTAGCCGTGTTGGTCTAATAAAAGATATCAAATTCACCCAAGGTTTGGTCTAATAAAAGATACCAAATTCACCCAAGGAACCTTGTCTGCCTATGTTTATGTTCCACATTTGACATAGCATTATGTTAAAGTTGTGACTAAAACCCCCACTGAAATAATCTCCAAAGGAAAAAAAAAAAAGAAAAATCAAAGTTAGTAGTGAATTCATAAAATCAGAAGAAGTATGAATGGGAAAAAGACCTACTAAATATTTTATCATCTAGCGCACCTGCTTGCTAATACTAAGTTATTCCTTACATCTGTACAGTACTTTGTCAAGTCTGAATCATAAACAGCCCAGTTCATATTTTCAGCACCTCCCTATTAAGCTATTTTACGTGCTAAAAGGCCACATTATCTAGTGAATTTTACTAATATCCAGATACACCTCGTTTATTTTTTTTAATAAACTCCAAGTTTCCATGTTCAGTGTGATATCCTAAATAAATCTTTCTTCCTCCTTGTCTTTGTGTCCTGAAAAGAATTTAAATAATACACAGACCAAACCCTGGGCTTATAATAGACAAGACAAACAGAAGTATTAGGAACCCACATCTATTACTACAGGATACAGCATCCTGAGGTTTCAAAAGTAGGGAAATAAGTATATTCTTAAATTTCAAAAGAAAAGTAGGATGCTGAAGTATTATAGTTATGAGGTCAGTCAGTCAATCATATCCAAAAAGCAGGTAGCATGAACTAATACATCACCACTCACAAACCTCCCTTGCTGATCTTAACTAGACTGACAAGAACAGCATTGAAATTTACAAAGTAGAAGTGTACTCTGATCTCTCAGAGTCTATAGTTTTCTTTGGGGACACATTATAAATTGACATTGAGCCATTGGTGAAACCAAGCAAAATGTAACTTTAGATTAAGTTGGCAGACAACAGCATGTTAGTGCGCTGCATATTCCCAAACAGCAATTCTTTTATATTACCAAAAAAAGAAAAGAGGCAAGTTATGTTAGCATTTTTATTTCACCACAATTAATTAAAACACTAGGCTGCCTTTGCTCATTTTAAAACAAATGTATAATTAATTTCTTGTCTGTATATAAAATAAACGAATCTTAAATTGAAAAAAATATATCTTTCAAAACACAGGCTAGCAAATGAAAGAAAGAAGGAGAAAAAAATCCCTGACAATTTCTTTGTCAAATGCCAGCCTGCTGGCAAAGCACACAACATTAAAATGCACTCTTGAGTGTAGGTAGTACTAGCTCACATTTGATTGTCAGATCTGGCTAAGTGCTGCTCCTCAGTTTGATGTACAGACAAATACACACAGCTGGGTGGTATAACACACTGCTCTTCTCATATACAAGAAGCTGTCACACGCATGTCAAATACATCAAGCTACTCACAAATTCCTCCAAAAAATAAAAAAGGGAAAAATCAAAAGACCTAGCTATACTAGCTAGATGTAATCTAAGGACTGTTACATGTGTGTTGTATTTATAGTCACCTCAACAGGTACAGTTAAGGGCATAAATATCTTACAAAAAATTGTCTTTATTTGAAAGTTATATCACATATGGCTAAGTGGTTTAAAGAGACACTTTTTCTTATGTTTTAAAAATGTTTGTAATTAATAGGACCGCATAAAAATGACATTAATATCTATTTTCCAATACAATTGCTATGTTCATTCAAACTGGCTTTCTTACAGAAATGTGGATCATTTCCTGCTTATATGCACCATTATTGTCACATCAACATTCACATGCACAGTTCTGGAAATTTACATGCACTGAACTAGCAGCTGCAGAGATAAGAGTAGATCTCTAACTATGCATTAGTTCATGGGCTGCTGGGAATTTTACAACGTATTATTAAGGAAAAAGGCAATGATGTCTCAGGGTAATCACTTTTATTGGACCAACTGTATAGCTAGGATAGAGTTAGACAAGTTTAGAATGCAAGACATTCTTCAGGACTGATGAGAACAAGCCAAGCACAGCATAGTCCTGAAAAAGAATGTCTTGCATTCCAAACTTTTCTAACTCTATCCCAAATACACAGTTGGTCCAATAAAACTCATCACCCTGAGAAATCCTGGCCTCTAACATAATTTCTGGACCATCATGACTACATCATCACTTTTACACTACCATATTATTAAGGGAAAAAGGTGTAGGTCTCAGTACTGGACTAAATGCCAGGAACATTTACTTTCTCATTCCAGTTCTAAAATTTGGAATTACCCAGTTTTGTCCGCTTGAATTACAAACTGCTGTTGTCCTGTAGTGGGTGACCCTAGTGATGAGAAGGAACCTCCTCTCATCAGTGAAACAAGCCATCTTTAGTTGGAATGATACAAGCTTGTTTTTCCATACAGCTTCCTACATGCAATTTCTTCATGTATATCCATTTACTAGTGACACGTTGGTGAGGTAGCCATTAATAAAATTAAGTGCCATGATAACACACAAAAACCTTCTCTATCAATACATGAGCATTTGTGGTCATGTTTCCTAGACCTCAAACTATTTTTGTTGCTCTCAAATTGACTCTTTTCAGTTTGTCCACATTTGCTTTGAAGTATAGAGTCCAAAACTAGGCACACTACTCCAGGTGAGGGGCCTTACCAAAGCAGAATAGTGTGGATGGCTTCTCTGGACTTGCAAGCAACGCTTCTGTTGTCAGGGACAGTAAGTGGTACAGAATAATTCCCTACCTGTTACAGAACTGGAGGTATAATAGAAGGGCAGCAAGTGCATCGTTTGAAATCATGTGCCACAATACACTACAGATGGTTTGCTGTTTCTACGCCAAATAGTTGAAGAAAGAGATAGCACTTAAAGAATAATGCTATTCTTCAAGAAATAGAAGGAGGAGGAGCTGGGGAATTATGGAATGGTCAGTCTAATGCTGATAACTGGGAAGATTATGGAGCAGGTCACCAAGGAATCTATGTATAAGCAGGTAGAAGAAAATTAGATGATCAGGAACAGCCAACATTAAGAGCAAGCTTACCAACTTAATTTACTTCTACAACAGAATAACAGGCTTTGTTGATGAGAAATGGATGATATACCTTGATCATAGCAAGGCTTTTGGGCACAGTCTCCTACAACATTCCTATTA